AAATTTGCCAAAATTTTCAGATTTCCGTGTGATGGGCGATCATTTGATGGACACAGTAATTTGAAAAGCGCAGTAATAGGTTGGGCCCAATTTTTTAATTAATGGAAAATAGTTTAGCCGATCAAGTGAGTTACATTATTACAATGAAAAAAATAATGGTCTCAATAATCTTTTCTTACCCAGAGTTGTGCTGATTGCTAAAATTTATGTATATACAGCACAATTATCACAATAATTACTTCAATTATCACGGTTTGCAAGTTGATCAAATTTGTAGATCGAACAATCACCTGATTATTGTAATGTTGCATGATTGTACAGTATTATAGATGTGGTTGACAGATTTTATGAAAATAACGCACTTTACAATCATGCAATCGGACAACAATCAAATGATTATATGCGATCTACAAATTTGTCAAAAGACACATCAGTTTGCAAACCGCGATAATCGTAGTATTTGTGGACGATCAACCAGTCAAATTGAAAGATGCTTGAAGACTAATTTTTTCACGGAGCTACTCTGTTTGATCAACTGTAATTTAAAATCTGCATTTCACATAATGAATTTTCGGCAAAATTTGCTATAAGGATCATTATTGAGCAGCATCTCGATTATTAATAATGATCAGTGTTGGCATTTGGACTTGGACAAATATGGACATGGGCTAGTACAAATAGTGTCCATGTCTATCTATATCTTCTTTTACCGAATTTTTCGGGATATTCGGACTTTTACCCTAACTTTGGTTTATTCTTCCGGAATATTTTAGAGTAGCAAGCCCACGTGTTTGATTTGGACTAAGCGCCTTACGTCCAATAGAAAAATATGGACAATATCCATGTTTATGAAATATTCCGATAAATTTGACCATCATTCCAAAAATAAGAGAAATTTGAAACCCAATTGATTGATTATCTATCCTGCGAATCACGCGTGTAATGCACGCATCCTGCTCGAGATTTGGGAACCCACGATTAGTGTCTGAACCCATCTGAAAAATCTCCACCGGGTAGAAACCGGGTCTACTAAAAAAAGTAAAGTTTCCAATACGGGTAGACGCGGGTGAAAATCAGTCAGATCGATCAATTTAAAAAAGATGCAATCCCGAAATTTCCCGCCGACCTTGCTTGTATTTTACGTTCGCTTGTTGTCTACATTCCGACCAGGGACCTGAAAAAATTTCGAAAAGATTAGATCACAATTAATTACAATATTTATTAGATATCACATTATAACCCAATTTTTTACCCTTTCAATGATGCACGTGATAATTAACCAGGTAAATTCTGAAATTGTGGTATAAATATGAATTCATCTTGAACAATCTCTTGATTACTCTATTGCTATCAATGCGAAATTTAGTCAATCAACGCAGCTCTATTTAAAAAATGTTTTTTGACCTATGATAAGTGATAATCACGATCAATTTTTCGACCAATCAAATCGGTCGGTAAATTCGAGGGAAGTGAGATTTTGTGTTCGCTAATTTTTTTATATTATACATAGCTTTTTTGTTTACTCATACAATTATTTCTCTTTGTATATTTAGTAAAAAAAAAAAAAGCTTTCATTATGTCATGAGTTTATTCTACACATACAATTCAGAAAAACCACTGGATAGGGAGAGGTAACTATATAATTGAATTAAGTTCACTTAAAGAGTTGCCATATTTATAAATCCATTCATTTTTTTCAACAAACCTTAATATTTAATTAGTATAAGTGGATTTTACTAGTTGAACCCAACAAAGAATAGGCAGAGAAAATAATGTATTATTCGGCAAAGAATAATCCATAATGAAAAACTATAATTGTTTGTTAGTTTGTCAAACTAATGCATTTATCCTTTGTTTTGAGAATTTTCCTAAAGATTTTTTTGGAAGGTTTTCAAAGAGGTTCAAGTTTTTGACCATACTTTTGAAACGCACACAGGATGCCATTGTATTTTCATATGTTCAGAACATATGTGTTCTTTTTTCCATTACCAATCTTATGAGAATGTGAAAATTAATAATACCGGATTTAATAATTTCGATTGTATTATTCCATCCATAATAAAAATGGTCATATTAATTTATCTTATTTGAACAATTTCGGAGCCTTTAAATGATTCTGACAAAAAAAAAAAATAAATAAATTTTAAGTTTTTGCTGCCTATTAATTTAAATAAATTTCGCGTTATAATTCCAAATCAATTTTTTTTTCAAATCACATACTATATATATATATAATCAGGCGTAACGCCAACAGATTTTTTAGAAATCTGAATTGGAAAATTAAATAGGCGCAACTGGTGATAAAATTGGGTTTTTTTTGATAAAACTTGACCGGTAAGCGATTATGTAAATAAGTGCATACTTTTGAAAAATAGAATTTGTACGTCGCTTCTTTTGAAATAAATACGTCACTTACAGTATTTAATCTGAAATCGGACATCGAATAATCATTAATTCCGAAACTTCCAAATGACGAATTTACCAAGTTTACTAATTCATTTGACTATTTATTTTGCTGGATTGGGACATATTGCATAAATAACCAAATACGATAATTTTGATTAATTTGGGATAATTGTGTAATGATAAATTAGTATTATTTATACTGTAAGTGCTAACTAAACATGTTTTATTAAAGATAATGGAGGATAATAAATCGAATTCTCTTAAAGACAACGTACCCGTTCAAAATGAAGATTTTCCAAAAATTATAGAGGATGAAAGTTATACTTATGAACCGGTTTCTCTTAATGACCAAGTGTCCGAGGATGAAGATAACGAAATACTTCAATACGTTCGGTTTAAAATTATAACTTTAAATGAAGAATATAAGTGGTATAAGATAAATATGAAAATTCGATTTCATATGTGTGTTGCACAAATTTTTATCGCGTTAATTTCAATTTTTATTGGTCAACTATTATCAGTGGCCAAACATATCAATACAATTGATGACATTGGTAAAATTGGATCAGTGGTTTCATCTATCTTTGTGATAGCTGGTACAATCACAACAATTTTTACTGTGTACTTAAATAATTCTTCGGAAAAATATTTTGAGAGGAGTGGTAATACTGAAATTACCGAAAGGTTATTTAAACCCATGTTTTTAAATATAGATTTAAAAATTCTCAAAAATTTATATAAATTTCGTTCGATTTTTTTATACCTTACTTTAAATTTAAAGAAGAAAAATGATATTTTATCCAAAGAGAAAATAATTGATTTATTTATTTCTTCTATAATTTTCTTATATATATTATTTTCATTATTAGTTTTAACTTCTATTTATGTTGATTCGGTAAAAAATATTGATCAGGGCATTAATCATTTTTTTAGACATGGTTTATTTTGGGTAGGAGAAGTTTGGATATGTTGCATTATTCTGTCGAAGTCATTTGATTTGGTTAATAACTTAGAGTATAGATTAAATCAAAAATATGATATATCTAAATATCTTATTGAAGATTCGTTAGATTCTAATGTTAAAGAAAAGGAGTTGGGTTGTTTGTTTAACATTATTAAGTTTGTGATTAAAGTTTTTAATCTTTGCTTTTTACCTTATTATTGGTTAAGTGGAAGAATTGTATTTCGAGACCAAACCAAGCAATCTTCGGATGAGGATCAACTACCACTGAGAAGCAATCAAAGTCAAACTTCGAAAGAAGAGGAGCAAAATCCAGTTTTGGAGACTTATTTTAAATATTTTGTTGTTAATAATTTAGAGTTATATCCAAATGAGGAATTTGCGATTAAAAGTATTTTAAATGGTGCTATAATTACTACAGGAGAAGGTACAAAAGAAAAATATGATCCAGAATTTATTCGTAAGATTTTACGAAGCAAATTTCATGGAAAAACCATTTTCATTTAGAATATATTTTTATTAAAAACACTTTTTTTATAAATGATTTTACATTTCAATATCACAAGGCGAGTCTAGAAATTTCGCTCTTGTAAATTTTTATTTACCGAGTGAATTCTTAAACACTTCGGGCCACTAGTTTATCTTTTCATCTGATTTTCCGAAATATTTGACTCGACATGAATATATTTTATCCTTTGTAAATTTCATATATCATTATTATTATTAGTATTATTATTATTATTTAAATTAAAAAAATTTTTCGAATTAGGTTTTGTTTATCTAAATCGAAACCAATTCCAATTAAATAATCTTGCGTTGAACCATGTTTTTCTTTAATATATTTCAACATATTTTTCATTACCTAAACAATCGAATAAATAAATTATAAATAAAAATAAATACAATATTAACTTTGAAATTCAAGATATATATCATTCCTACATCAGGAGTCGCGGAAGCAAACTCTTCAGGTAATCCAATTTTTCCTATATCAACGACTACTGAAGGCATTATACTGGCCAAACCCTTTTGAGAAAGTGCATAATCTTGAGCAATTGTTTCATCATCAACACCACAGATAGAAAGAACGATGGCTATTATTTCAAAAATAAATAAATAAAATTAAAAAAAAAAAAATAAATAAATATATGTATAAAAATAAAACTATATCACTATCAAAATTTTCAAAATAAAATTACCAATTATTATACCAGTGCGATCCTTTCCATGTTTACAATGAATTAAAATTGGTAAATTTGTTTCGTCTGTCATAACTTCAAGGACCTAAACGATTTTTTATGAATTTAAAATAAAATATGCACCCAATTTACGAAAATTATATCCTCATACCTCGCAAATTTCTTTATCAGAGGAATCTAAGAAATCTGTATACATCCCAATTAACCCTCTTGGAATCAAAGTTTTTGCCATTATTCTTGCAACTTGAACTTGTTGACATATTAAATAATATCCAATCAATTGGCTGAAACAAAAGAACTTTGAATAAAAAAATATACAAAGATAAAAAGAGCAAATCGAAAAAATTTTAAACCTACACTCTGACATAAAAAGGGGCTGCAGTAAAATAACTTTTTTGAAGCTTGGTTCCCAATAAACTAACATTGACAGTCTTCCTGACATTATCTTTTTGCTAAAAAAAATTTCGTTATAAGTTTTATCTCCAAGATCAAGCTCAAGCTCGGACGTTATGCATCAGGAAGGTAATTATCATTCAACAACTTTATTAATTAATAAGCATTTAAAGATGGTTACCTTCTTGATGTATAATGTTTGAACCTAACAAAATTTGTAGCTATCTTTTTCTTATTTTTTACCTGAGGAGGGTATATAACAACCGGAAAATTCGTTTCTAACAGTGCTCCTTGACGAAGATCAAATCCTCTAAATTTTAAATGAGAAATGAGAAATGTAATTTTGCGTTCAAGCAAGACATTTTCTATACAGAAAAAACATGAACCTAGCTCGCAAGTCTAGAATTGTATGGATATCAAAATTTAATAATCGTTTGACATCTTCTTCAGTTGCATCATCTGATCAATAATAATAATAATTAATTTCGAAAATAAAATTAATTATTCAATATATTAAGCAAAAAAAAAATCAAATACCTGGATGTGCGCTACGAAATAATAAGCCTTTCTTTATTATTCTTTTTAAACCATAAAATATAATAATGGATTAGATATATGAGATATTGAATATTAATAATGTATGTGATACATAATATTTACCCGATTCCATTTTGATTAATAACGTCAACTGACTCTCCAACATCACGAAAATTCAAAATTGACTGCATTGTTTTTATATTATTCAGAGAGGAATTCGATAACTTTATATAATAAAATTACAGATGAGCTGGGAGATAAAGGTATGGTTACAAAGGTGTACGATCATTCTTAAGTTCGGGAAAAGTTGGACCCTAATGGTAGGTTTATTTTTTAATGAGCACCCGTATTGGAACGGAAATTCCATCACCGAAATGATTAGGTAATGATTACCAATACAGAATACAGTATATTGGTAATCGGAAATTTTGTTTTAAAAAAAAAAGGCTGTGAAAATATTAACATACGTACGAACATCATATATGCACATCGGTACACCTAATTCAATTTTTCTTTATAACGAAGTGAATATTTTTGGAAAAAAATTTTTCCGAGAATTAAACACTTAAGCACCATACAAATTTAAGTTTTTACGCAGCTTGCTATAAATACCTTCATTTCACTGAATTGACTTTATATTATTATTTCGAAAATTTTACCTTGAAAAAATGACCTATGTTTCTATAAGGTCATTTTCAAGGAAGGCAAAGCCCAATATGACCCAGATTGCACATATATCGCCCAAACAACCTAAATCATGTGGTAGTAGTTATTATTATTCGAAGTACGTATGTACGTACATATAACGGTGATCATATGTTTTGTATGCTCGTATTAAAGACGGAAAAGGTAATATTCGTATCAGGTATGATAATTAAACGTACGAGAGATACAAAGTAGGGATCTGCAATTTTGGCGTGTGCTGTCATCAAACGCGTAGATCAGATTTTGAAGCTCGCGAGACTCCGAATACATTGTCTTTTTTTTTTATTGTTTAGTCGGTATCGCCCGTCATAGCAAAGGATTATCTGATCATATCAATTCGTAGATAGACAGCTTTATTTCTTAGTCTATTTCCAACAGCTCATTTTACATATATACAAGTTTTTGCATTAACCTTAATTCTAAATCTAATTCTAAACCCAATCCTAATGACTATAATTACTTTGTAGGAAATGAGTTGTCAACAAATAAATTGTCTGCGATATGGACTTGTCTTTGAATTCTTGCGAATTGACTGTCTCTAAAATAAACTTGTCAATGAACCAATTGTCTATGAAATGAAGTGTTTTCTACGAAATGAGCAGCACGTCATTGTAATCTCCTAACTTCGTTTTATTATGAGAGAGTCGGTGCAAAGCCACAGAAGAAAATCATCACGATAAAAAAGTATATACTGACCAATTACCGTAAATAGCATCCCCCAGGTAGTAGTAGTAGATCTACTATGTACTATAACCGGGTCAAAAATATAGGATAAAGGTTTGTAAAAGACAAATAGAAAAAAAACTAGGAAAATATTATAAAAATAGAATCTTATCGGATTCCCATACGACCCGCTAGTCTAATTATAGGTTTTAAAATTGGTGAAATGTAACAGACTCGGGTCTTGTATCCGACCATTTACGATAATTAATATAGTTAAGAAGCATTCATCCATTTGGATCAAATATAGTATAGCTGGCACCTTAATAAATAATCAATTGATTTATAGTAGGTGTCACTATACTATATTTGATCCCATTAAATACTTGTCTTTTTATTGCAGTTTATAATTTTATCATTTGGTCTGAAGCATATTATTGCAAAAATCACACAAATGACGTCTAACCCAATTTATCATTCTTTTTCAATAAATAGTAAATGATACTTCATAATTCGGGAAAAATTCTCATTTCATTAGAGACTGAAGTCGGTTGGGTATAATTTAACTAGATTATGAAGTTTCTATTTGTTTCGAATCTCAATCATAGCAAATTTTATCATATAAATAAAAATTATTTGCTTATTATTTATTATAAATGCATTATTGACAGTGATGTGTTGTTTACTTGCTGAATTTTGTGAGGTACAATAAAATAACTGTTTAAGTTCATGAATTTTTACAAATTTAATTTTATTTTGTTCGGGTTAATTTAATGCGTGCATCTGAAAATATAATTATATAATTGAGTTTCTTTTCTTCAAACTACGCGAATTAAACTTGTTGGTGAATTAATTATCAGTGAATTAAGTATTGGTGAAATAAATGTGCCAGTAAAATGGACATGTCGATAATTAATCGTTAGTGATTAAATATCTATAAAATAAACTTGTTATGAAGTCTTGTGTCTACAAAGGGCGCATCGGTGAAGTGAGTGGAACTAGTTTAATAAATAACATCAAGTTCATTTGATTAAATTAATGCGAAATTAAGTTGCAGTATAATAGGCATATAATTACTTTTTAAAGTATATAAACATAAATTGTCAAATACACTGTTTAATTTGACATTTGTAATTCCAAATTTTATCTTTGTCTCTTAAAAAATATGTTAATTTTGAAAGACACTAACAAAGATTCGCAACAGTAATAAATTAGTGACACCAAGAGAAATGTGACTTCAATCATCCAGAATTTATATGATTGAAGTTTCATTTTTACTTCTAATATACTTACTCGAACTAGATTACTGCAAAATTAAGGTATAATGTAAATATAATGTATATCTACAAATTTAAATATTTTATTTTTAAAATATACATTGGTTAATAAAAATTATCTATTATTATACTCACTAATTAATCAAAATAATATAATATACGTGGCTCTCGATATCGATATAATGGATATCGCTTAATACAGAGAATGATAATGGAACCAAATTGTGATTTACTATGATGTCTGATATATCATGAGATTTTGATATTACGAAGCTTTTGATATAACGGAGCAAAGGACTGGAACCATGGCCTCCGTTATATCGAGTGCCACGTGTATAATACTTTAGTAAATATTCGAATTATTCGCAAAATCTTGGCAAAAATGCCATTAAAATAAGCAATAGGAGTTTTAAAAAATTTTTAGTATAAAATATAATAAGGCTGTTTGAAATTGAATTTTTGTTTAACATTATTTTTTTACATTAGCACAATGAGGAGAGAAAAAAATTAAACAATACATAAAAATTAAAGATGGTATACCAAAAAATCCAGCAACCAAACTGGCTCTTATATCGATCAATCTGTCTCTTCTATTTGTTTAATTTCTGGGGGACTCAGGAGATGGAGGGGTAATGTTAAATGAAGAATCAATTTCAAATGGTCTAAATTAAAATATAACTTTACTTATTGTTATGATTATTTGTACCTGCGCCTAGTGATAGAACCTCTTGAATTAATAATGATAATAATTATTAATTATTAATTAATTAGTTGAGTTATTAACTGGAAACTACTTGATAATGTTCAGTGCAGTATTATTCTCTATTTCAAAATTTGTTAGACTTTAAGGATTAATTTTATTATGATTTTGTAATATGCAGTTTTCTAATGTAATTACATAATTATTAGCAATTATTACTATTAATAATTTTAGTAATTTTTTATTATTAAAATAAAAGTCCAGCGCCTAAAGTTATAAAAATTATAAGATCTTTGATTAAGTTCCTGGTTTTTAGCTCTATTCCTGGTTTAGCATGATTGTATTGCATAACTATTTAATTATATATTATTATGTTATAGTATAATGGTATTGCATTATTATACTACAAAGAAACTATAGTATTATAATATTACAGCATTATAGCATAATAGTATTATGGTATTATGGCATTATGGTATTATGGCATTATGGCATTATAACATTATGGAATTGTAGCATTACGGCAATTAGGTTCTGTGTTATAATTAATTCTACTATATAGAATGCATAATACTATAATTCAGTAATTCTACCACCAACACTAGGTAGAGCTATATTCGCAATAGTGTTCTGCAAAATAGATTCAAGATTCGGATTTGATTCGCAAATCCATCTCGAATCCCATGATTTGCAAATCCTGTGAATCCAAATTCAAACAAAAATTCGATTGAATAATATTCAGATCCATTATTATTATAGCCAATAGTACCACTTTATTAAAATGATTTTGTACAATATACTGTACAATAGCACAATTTCGATAGATTGTATATGCTAATCTTGTAGTGTGTTTAGTATATAATTATATCAAGTTTCAAATTAAGCAGCTATTAATATGAAAGAAAACCTGTTACTGGACTTTCAATTATATTTTGTATATAGTTAGCCATCTATAAAAAATTTATTATAATCCATAGATGGCTAACTGTATACAAAATATAATTAAAAGTCCAGTAACTCCCATATGACAATTAGAATTAATGGCTGCATTTAAAAGCCTAACTGGTTTGCCTCTAGCATATTCTTGCTTAGCCATCTTTTTAATGTTAAAAAATTCCAATTTGAACTAAAATCAAATAAACTTTTTTCTTTATTACTAAGAATTTTTTGATTGTATTGCATTTATTGTAGTCTTTTTTTTTCTTTTATACAAAAAAACATCTATTAGTGTTAGAAAAAAGCTTAAAATGTGAAACAAAAAAAAAAAAACCTCAATATCAATCATGTCCCAAGAACAAGAATCATAATTTCCATACTTTGATGATGAATTATTTCTAAATGAATCATATCAAGATAAAATATTTTTAGATAAATCGAATCAAAATAAGTTATGTTTTAAAAAATCAAGCCAAACTACATACTTTGATGAATCAAATCAAAATAAATCATATCCTGATGAATCCCAAGATAAACTTTGTCTAGATGAGCCATCATCGCAAGCAGAAAAGTAATATAAAGTTTATCAAATATATAATATTATTATTTATTAATTTTTTAATTTTTTATAAATCTATTATATGAAAATATTTTAAAAAAGAAAAAGGAAAAATGAAGTGTTCTATTTGTAACAAAAAGTTAACCTATCATCATAAAACAACATCAAACTTTCTAAAATATCTTAAAATAATACATAAAGATAAAGTTCCTGAACTAAAAGAATCAGAAACAAAGAAAGTATCACTATTTTGGATATGTTGAATAACCAAAAAAATCATTGTGAACTCTTCAGTCAACAAAAACTTACTACAATAATAAAAAAATGAATTGTAAAGTATAATCAGTTATTTCA